ATACGTATCTAATCATTTCCCATGTAGAACAACATACCTGCGAATGGAGAAAATCGGTAAGGTCGGCCTCGGGTACTCTCCTTGTTAGTGTCTTTTGCAATTAAAAAGTTTAACGAGTTTCATTTGCGCATTTGCGAGCGCGTTTTCACCTGAAGCGATCGGGAAACATTACCAGAAAATTCGGCGTTGTTAATTATCGTAATTTGATTATGAACGTAGTTCCAGTTCGACAGTCGTACTGTTCGGACGTGTTTCTCTTGTTCTCGCAACGGCACTACTGTGTATCGAATAGTTCTGAGTACGCGAACGCGAAGGCTTTTTTAAGCCGTGGTTTGAGCGGTTTAATCCAACTATTTTTCGCTAATGAATAAAATAAACTATCCCCTACAAACCCCGAGTCAATCCAACTCTGGGTGGACCGTAGTGGGTAGTAATAATAAAAAAAGAGGTACAAATAGTCCAGATTCACAGAAGGCCCCAAATAAACATCAGTCGATTATAACTGATTATTGGCTGGGAGGAGTTGAAACGTCTAACACCTTCAATCTCCTCGGCGAAAATAAGAACGTTAACAGTGCTGATGAACAGCAGATCGAAGGCAATACGCCAACTAGTAAGTCACCGCCGATATTTGTCTGCAAAGTCAACGATGTTAAACCTCTCCAGCATCTGCTGAATGAAATCGCCAAGGACCAATACAGCTTCAAGGTTACCGGTATAAATCAAATTAAGATACAACTGCAAAAGCCGGAGCTCTACATTCCTGTAATAGAAAGATTAAAGGGCAAGAAGACCTCATGGCCCAAATGATGACGCGCATAGATTCTCTTATAAATCTAATAATTACGTTATTGGGCAACAACGCTAACTTAAATAAAAATGCCGTTTAAAATCGCAGCTTGGAATTCTAACGGTTTATCACAAAGATACCTGGAATTAAAAGCTTTTTTAATAGAAAAGGACATAGATATAATGCTCATCTCTGAAACACATTTTACCGACAAAAATTATTTAAAAATCCATAAATATACAACGTATTTTACTAATTATCCCGATAACAAGGCACACGGTGGCTCGGCAGTAATTATAAAATCCACAATTCAACATCATGAAATGGATAGTTTTAAAGCAGATTATCTACAGGCAACAAGCGTAGTAATTGAGGACCAGCAAGGAGCACTAACAGTTACATCGATTTACTGCCCCCCTAAATTTAATATTCAACAGGAAACGTTTACTAAATTCTTTAAAACACTGGGAAATAGATTTATTGCCGCTGGCGATTATAACGCAAAACACCCGTGGTGGGGTTCAAGATCTAATACACCAAACCCAAAAGGGCGAAATCTCTACGCTGCAATAGTAAAGGAAAATCTTTCGGTCGTTTCCACTCGTGAACCCACCTACTGGCCCTCAGATAGAAATAAGACCCCTGACTTGATAGACTTTGCAGTTATTCGGGGCATAAATAATAATTACTTTAAAGCCGAATCATGTTTTGATCTTTCCTCGGATCACTCTCCAATAGTAATAAATGTATACAAGCACTTTTACAATGTTAAAACAATTAATTCAATTGTGAACAAAAATACCGACTGGAATGCCTATAAACAGCATATAGATCATTCACTCAACTGCAACGTTCACCTAAAAAGTCATTCTGACCTCGATTGTGCTATCAGCTACTTTTTTTCCAATATTAAGAATGCTTTGGCCATAGCTACTCCCTGTTACACGACTCATATACAAAAAAATGTCTGCCCTCTCTGATTCAAAACAAAATTAAGGAGAAAAGGAAGCTGCGTAACATCTGGCGGATAACTAGAAATCCACTCGATAAAGCGAAGTTCAATAGTTCGATCAAGGAGTTAAAAAATTTGCTGCATGACTATAGAGACAAAGTAATTCAGAATTATATTACGAACTTAACCTCAGAGAAATCAACTGACTACTCATTATGGAAAGCAACTAAAAATATCAAAAGGCCTCAACAACACATACCTCCTATCGCCCGATCTGATGGTTCTTGGGCTCGCACTGATTCGGACAAAGTTAATTTATTTGCTGAACATTTTAGTAATATTTTGAAACCATATGACAAAATAATCACAATAGAAAATGAAAGAACATTACTAGAAGAGGATCATTCAGAAGAAAACGATAATCATATAAAAATAGTTAAAGTCAACGAAATCGCAGGAATCATAAGAAATCTTAATAATAAAAAAGCTCCCGGTTATGATGAGATTCCCGGTAGAGCATTTAAAGAATTACCATCCAAGGCTGTCAGGTTCATTACTATTATAACAAATGCTATTTACCGGCTTTCATACTTTCCCGAACAACTAAAAAAAGCTCAAATAATACTAATATTAAAACCTGGTAAAGATCCAACATTGGTTACGTCATACCGACCCATAAGTCTGCTTCCTGTATTGACAAAAATCGTCGAAGCTACGATATTAAATAGAATAAACGAAGTTATTTTAGCAAAGTCGCTCATTCCAGATTATCAATTTGGATTCCGTAAAAAGCATGCCACCATCGAATAAGTAAATAGGATTACTGCAATAATAAGAAAATCATTCAACAATAAGGAGTACTGCAATGCTGTCTTTTTGGATGTATCTCAGGCTTCCGACAGAGTGTGGCACAAAGGTCTTATATTTAAACTAAAAAAATATGTGCCATTCAAACTAGCAAAGTTATTGGAGTCGTATCTAAGCGACAGATCTTTCAGAGTCAAGTTTGGTCAACAGGTCTCATCCTTTTATGCTATTAAAGCAGGCGTGCCACAAGGCAGCATCCTAGGATCCACGCTTTATCTAATATACACGGCGGACTTTCCTAATCTCTGCAACATCACTACTGCAACGTACGCTGACGATACAGCATTAATACATACTAACAAAGATGTTTCAGCAACCTCTGAGGTGTTACAACAGGGATTAGCACTTGCTGAAGAATGGTTTAAAAATTGGAGAATTAAAATCAACGAAGATAAGTCTATTAATGTCACCTTCACTCTACGTAAAAATACCTGTCGTTCTGTGACTTTAAACGGCAAAATTATCCCCCGCAATGTAATAAGGTTAAATATTTTGGTATGCACCTCGATCGTCGACTTACCTGGCAGGTTCACATATGGAATAAAAGAAAACATCTTAATCTTACTTTGAAAAAAATGTATTGGCTGTTAGGAAGACGATCGCAAATGTCTACGGAAAACAAAATTCGACTGTATCTGGCTATACTAAAACCAGTATGGACTTATGGGATTCAATTATGGGGCACTGCATCTAAATCAAATATAAGAGTTATAGAAAGGTTTCAAACTAAAACCTTAAGAACTATTCTCAATGCTCCATGGTACGTACCAAATAACCAAATTAACAGTGATCTAAAAATTCCAACAGTTTACGAAGAAATACATAGACACTTTTCAAGATATAAAGTAAGGCTTTCAACGCATCCCAACCAGCTCGCCAAAAGATTAATTACTTTGAACAACAAGAGGTCAAGATTAACCAGATATAGAACAATAGAATAACGATTTTATTATGCAAACATTTATAACAGACTCATTGTTTGTTCAGTAATTATGTATTTTGCGTACAGTCAATGGACTGTTACCGAAATGTATATATTTTCTCTGTTTCTGTAATGTTATCTGCTTTTCTCTGTACATTAACAAATTTGCTTATTGTCCTAAAGGACAGATTGTAAATAAATTTGAATATAATGAAAAAAAAAAAAGATTATGAGCCACGCACCGTGACCCCAGCTTAATTCAAAATTTGAATGTTTTTTTTATTTAATTTTGAATAAATTGTAACTGATCTTCTTAAATCGAGTATTTCTTATTTATTAAATTATTGAACCTTTTCCTGGATTGAGGCAATCCTAATCGGGGAAATTGGAAGGGAATGGGCCCTTACCGATTCTAATTAAAATTCTATTGACCTTATCCCGCCCCTCTCCGTTGCCACTCGAAGTGGCGTAAAAGAACATTGAACTAGTTAGCCCCTCGCATTTAAAAATCCGAGAGTTTTGGGATTGAATTTTGGATTTCAAGAGAGGAGTTCGTGCGAGGACGGGCTCCGAACTGGCAACCCTGCGCCATTCGACCTCGGATTCCGGGACCGCTCTCGCAGGAAGAGCAAAAACCCACCGAGAGAAGGCACGCCGAAGGACGTGCGAGAAAATTGGGTACCTTAAAGTATCAGACGCCCGCCGAGAATTTCTGGGTAATTTAGGGATTTAAATAATCTAATAGCTGATCTCACATTAAGTACAAGGGAAAGGTGCGAGGCACTCAATAGCCCTTGAGAAATTTAGGCAGCCTCTTTTGCGAAAACGGCCGGGGAATATAAACCGCTAAATAGAAAATACCAATCGCAGTGTACTACATGGATTCGCATTTTCTGTAATTCTTTCTCCTATAGCGGTTAAATGGTAACCAGGATTGGGGTAGTAGCACGCCCTCTTTCATCCTTTCGGCTGAAATAGGGGAACACTTCTCTAGTATTTATCGAGAACGCCTCCCGAGTGTAATTGAAAGGGTGCAGGTGTCTCATTTGAGCCGAAGGAACGAAAGAGAGCGCGCTACTGCCCCAATATTGGTTGCCATTAAGCCGCTGTAGAAGAAACAATGACGGATAGAGGGACTTCCGGTACTACGCGTGCGAGGGAGAACGCAGGTAACCCAAATGATTCGTGACGTTTCGTAAACGTCGCCTCTTTGGCGATAATGGACGCGGGCCATTCCCGAAAGCTACAACAAATTTAAGTCAAAAATAGTGGAATTTAGAAAAATAAAACGTTTTGAATACCCTGCGCAAAGTGACGTGCTCGCTACCACTACGGTGATTTGTTCCGGAACTACTGGAATAATTTGGGCGAGGGGTAGGGGAGTCACCAATCTATAAGTATCTCTTGTTTATACCTTAATGTTCACTGTAAATATGTGGAAAAATTAACGTAATAATAATTTCAGAATGTAAAGTAATATATTAAGAATTTTTATTTGATCATTGTGCATAGAAAGTGCATAGTACATTATCTTGTAATATGCCTACACAGAATCACGTCGACCGTTAATTTCTTTTTTTTTTAAAGTAAGTGTATGAAAACAGATTGCAAGTATTTTATTAATTCAAGCAGGTACTCGTGTGACGTTTGTATACTCTTACATCATAATATTGTGCATTTCGTTTACCATAACCGTGTTCTATATATTTATATTTGGTCCTCATCCATTATAGGATAACAAATGTTAACTTTTGTTTCAAAACTCTCAGGACATAGTTCGATTAACGCTTAAATGTTCAATGCTATAGTGAAACTGAGCTCTTCATATTCATTGGAAATGGTCAACTAAGATTGGGAAACTTATTTAGGATGCTTAATGGAAGATAGGCACATATCCGATTTGGATGGTCTAATACTAATGTTAATCTGAAAATAAAATAAACATTATAACATCATTAACTTGAAAAATATGTATCTTATACTAACACATTGATGTCTAACAAAATACAATCATAATTTGCCTTAGATGTAAAGCCGAGTATGCATCTGAGCACGAATGCATACGAGACAAGACGAAATCAAATGAGTACACAAATGCGGACGAGTAATCGAGATGCGACAAACTTTCTCGGGTTAGTTAGGCTCACGATCCGAGGCAGTACAAATGACATTCTTAAAAATCGGAAAATTAGGTTCGATGTAGATGGTATTTATTTCTATTTTGCCTCGAAAAGAGTCGAACAGACGTGGATGACATTTACGAACAAATGATTGGAATGACGTTTCCTTCATTGACTCGGATGATTTCGTTCGCACTCAAACATCCGGGTACACATCTGAACACGAAGGTGTACAAGGCGTCTTTCTGCCTCGCCTTGCATCGTAGGCATTCATGTTCAGATATGTATCCGGCTTAAAAGAAACTATTGTATACCTAACAGAGATTACAATAAAACAAATCTCAAAATTTGTATACCTGTTCATGCATTGGATTACAGGTACATTCGGAAGGCGTCATGGAGTTGGATTTCTTCATAATACTAGCAATTTCACCAACTTCAACCTCTCTTGTATTCAATCCAATAAACCGTAGAATGACTGGTAATTTATCAGAGTATTCTCGGTGTCCACTGACAATAGTGCTTAAATCTATGTTTGTAACCCTTTCACAGTTCACTGGTACTAGTCCTGCAACTCCAGTTGACATTGACAGTGTACGGTACAGAAATCTCAGCAGCCAGTCAGCTCTGGAATATAAACAGATTGAGGTATTATATGAACAATATTGGTATTTATAATTTTTTTTAAGTCTGTCAGCTAATAAATAAAGATAAATAAAATAATGTTATATCACTGCCTATTCTTACTTGCAATATCCATTGACAATTCTGCCTGCAACAATTGTGGAACATTTTTCCCACTGTTTTTTGCTATCAGTGACTGGAGCACCTAATATGACTGCATCCTGAATGATTCCTTCTCCACCACCAATTTCAACCATTTCCCTAAGGCAGTAAAATATCACGCGAGCTCCAAGACTAAAACCTACTAATGTTACGGGTCTCTTTCCGTGTTGTTTAGTCAACAAGACATGTGCTAATTGCTTGCCAACTTCAGAACTGCGTCTGCAGCATACTGACCAAGGGTTATCAATCACTGAAGCAATTGAAAGCAATGCAGCCGGCCATGCTACAGCACTTAATAGACCTATCGCGATTAAAATTATTTTAAATTAGAGAATTTCTGACTCATATGCACAATGCATGTTTCATAATTCTTACCTGATAAGACAGTGTACTTCAGAGCTTCTTGTGTAGCAACGGTAACTGCAATACTAAGAATGTAATCTAAAGCTTGACCCAATTCAATCAAATATTTTGTCTCATATCTGAGAGCATACTGTTCTCTAGAAACTGCAAGTGACTGCCATGGTTTTGTAATGCTCTCCGGGTCTTCGTCATTTAACCAGCCAGTAATGGCAATTGCAATATGCAGTTGATGCTCAATAACTTCATAGGGCATCATTGATTGAAAACCAAACTCCTCTACTTGTCCAACGCGCTTATTCATTTTGTACCCTATCAAAAATTTCCAGTATTATTTTTTAAAGAAAATGAAAACATTGAATAATGTTACCTGTAAGTCCAGCACCTGCAACTCCAAAGATCGATCCCACAATAGCGGCACCTGCTGTACTACCCAGAGCTACTGCACTAGCACCTCCAAGAATGGTTCCTACACCAATGCCAATGAAAGGGGCAGCTAAACCACCTGTTAGACCAATTAATGTACCACCAGCAACAGTCGCAAAACCAATTGCCGCATACCTCTTTACTTTACTGATCTTGTTTCTTCGTGCAGTTTCTTTCAAGCCTTTCCTTCGCATTAAACAGAAATATAAACATGAATTTTATTAATTTGAACATACCAAAATAAGATATCAATCATGCCAAAAATTATTATAAAAAACATACTCAGACTGTGAGCCAACACCTTGACTCAAATATTTGACTAAGGAATATTCATACATTTCAACTAATTCAAATGGAACATTTAAAATACTTGCTACTTCTCTAATAAGAACCCTTTGTCTAGCATCATATTCCCCTAAAAATATGAAAAATTAATTTTAGTACAATTGAAAGCATAATTTTAATAAATAATACATTTTGAATGAGCCTATTAAAAAATTACCTGTTTTAATTCCTGTTAAGCCATAATGAAAAATAAGGTAATGTTTTAATAACAATAATGCTTGAATACATAAAATTCACTATTTCAACTAACCTTCATTTACCGCCAGCAGTACCATATCCTGTATCACAAGAATAGTTTTTCCAGCAAGATTCGGCTCCTCTAAAAGGAGCGTAACATATGGATTTACGCTTTGAGTACTTTGACCAGTTGCTAATGTGATCATAACAGGCTTAATTCTGTCATTTAGATTTAGGTGTTGACATAAATTATTCACATACTGAGAATTAAAATCCTCATTCCAGACATTTGGAAACAGTGTACCCACAGTGATACAGCATATTGATGCATAAGCATAATGCCCAGAATTCGATATGTCTAGTTTTTTCATTTCTGCAACAATGAACAATGAATAAAGTGTACTGGAGTTTTCATAACATGAATATGATCAACAAAACAGTTGTCACTACTTATAATTGCTTTCAAACACTAAATTACCACGCGACCTCACTGACATTTCCTCTACACTGTTTGTTATACAATGTTTCTGGTCTCGCTCCATCAGTTAAATCTGAAGCTAAATCTACACATGTTTAAAACAGGTCACGGTGAACATATTTTGCTATACCCTAGACAGATTTTCATATCTGATTAGGAAGGTTGCAATGAAAATGGCATCGAACAGAGATGAGTTGGGAGATTGCTCACGGCAAAGAATACAGAAGTCTCCATAGAAGCCCAGTTCCCATGTTGACACGTGTTGACGCTTAATACTCATTAAATAGTCACCAAGTGCAACGCTAGATGGCAGCACGGACGACTGAAAGCATTACAGAGCGAGAGAAAGAGCATGGACGGCGTGAGTTACCGTCGAGTGGGCATATACAGAGATGAGTTGGGAGATTGCTCACGGGCAGGGTCGCGCGATCGC